ACACGCATCTTTTAATAGTCACCATCTGCAATGACTTTGCAACCCAAGAAAATAAAATATGTCACTGTTTTCACTTTTTCCCCATTTGTTTGCCATGAAGGGATGTGACAGATGCCTTGATCTTAGTTTTTTGGATGTTGAGTTTTAAGCCAGTTTTTTCACTTTCCTCTTTCACCCTCATCAAGAGTCTATATTATATTTCTATGTATAGAGATATTTATAACTACAGATATATTCCATGTATGTATATCCATACATGTATATGTACAGGTAGAGATCTGTTGTTGGTTCTGTCTTTCTCTAGAACCCTGACTAATACACTATGTGACAGGCCAGAGCCATTTTTTTTTTTTTTAATTTTTTTTTTTTCTGGGGGAGGCCAGAGTCATTGTGTCGCACAATTCCGGGGGATGCCATTCACCCTGAGCCCTGAATACTTTGCACATGTCCTCTCACGGAACCTTCATGACAGCTCTCTGGTGGAGCCACTCTTTTTATTCCCATTTTAAAGATGAGGAAATTAAGGGTTCAGAGAGTCTTACAGCCTGTCTCACAAACCCAGGGACTTAAGCCCTCAGTGTAGCTGACACCTGAAGCAGCTGTGTCCAGGGCAGTCAGTTAGTTAGAGGGCGGTGCCAAGACTATAACCCATTCCTTCTCACTCCTGACCCTCCGACCTTCCACACCAGAGAGCTTCTTCACAAACAGAAGAAAAAATTTAGAGCTTTGTTTCACATGAGCAAGCAGAGGGAAAGAAGAGTCCCTCGAGGAGCATTTCCTGTGATTGCTCAACTACATTCTGGACTAGACACCAGCAGTTAAGAGCCCCAGGCCTTGTGAAGTTAAGATGAACTCAGTTTTCACTTAATTGGTTAGACTTTGCTCTGATCCATTTGTCTTTGGAGTTCTTTTAATATGACTGAGCAGCGCTTAGAAATGGAACTTCTATGGCCTTTCCACTAGAGCAGCCATCCCCATTCCATCAAGGAAAGGTCAGGAAAGGGGTGCTGGGCTCATTTGCATTCCCCCGACCTCAAACTTGGGCCTGAAATAAAAAGTCTTTGTCCACGAAAAGAGCCAAGCTCTTCACTCAGCAGCTGTTTGGTGCAGAGACCTGCAGCTTTTAGGAAGCCCTGTGTTGTCTGAAGTCAAGTTTGTTTTCCATCTGCCCCCAGGTATTAGTCCACTTAGGAAATAAAGTGTTAAAAGCAATTGCTTGACCAGTTTGGGCTAACCCAGGCTTTGGCAAATCCTTGCTTCTTGTGCAATTTACAAAATATTTTCTTTGTAGTTGTCCTTGAAGCCCAAGTGGGACTAATGGCTTTAACTACCAGCCTGCACATTTCAAAGTGATTTCCACATCAGAAAGCCATTGTCAGCTTCCCCAAACATTTAATTGGTATAGGATGTGAGCAATTATCAAAGGCCACACTTCTCTTCTGAGTCCCAAGCCGTAGGCTCAGGTAGGAGCTGGTTTTCAGCAAGGATTTCCATTTCTGCCTCCTGTATGCTTAGTCTGTATGGCTCCATTTTCCTGTGGAATAAAAGGTTTCCTTGGTAATGAAAAAGCATTATAATCATCCCCAGGACCCAGAAAGCGGAGTTGGCTTGGCAGCCACAGACCAAAGGACGCTGTGTTGGCATAAACTCATGAAGAAACAGCGTCACAGTCTTTGCAAGTGTGTGGTGAAGAGTACAGTTTCTCAAATCTGGACAAGTTGCTTACTTCTCTGAACTCATTTTCCTTATTTGTAAATCAGAGTAATAATGACAACCTCAGAAGACAATTCAAGGATTAAATGACATAATGAGCATCAGGCTTGTAGAGCAGTGACGGCCCACAATAAAGGAAGGGAATGACATCGTCCCCCTGCCTTCCTGCTTCCACCACCACCATCACCCTCCCTCTCATCATCAACGTCTTCCACTGCTAGTATTTTTCTTTTTTTTTTTGGAAATGATGCAAAACCCAGAAATTATAAAGAAGAAAAACTACCAATTTAACCACATAAAAGTAAAAACTTTAGATATGAAAAAAAAAAGCAAACCCATAAACAAAGCCTACAGATAAATTACAAACTGAGAGGAAAATATTGGCCAGATGAAGGCATTATTCTCATTTACAAACATGATAAGCAAAACTGTTTTAAAGAAAGTGCTTACTGAAGAAAAATGAAGAACAATCTAAAGAACAGAAAGGATGAGTATAAAAGGAAAATGAAAAAAAGTGTTTAAAAGATGCAAACAGGCAGTTAGTTTAAGAAAAGATTTTAGATGACAAGCAAATCACACTGCCCAATTTAGTTAATAAACCAACAGAATATATAAAACATCAGTGAGAATCTTTTCATGTATCAATTGAGGAAAAATTAATAATACTCAGAATTTGCCCACGTGTTCTCTACTTCTGCACTACTTTTCAGCAGAAATTTTTTAAATTATGTATTTACTTATCTTTCTACACCAGGTCTTAGTTGCAAGCATGCAAGATATAGTTCCCTGACCAGGGTTTGAACCTGGGTCCCCCACATTGGGAGTGCAGAGTCTTAATCACTGGACCACCAAGGAAGTAACTTAGCAGTGTTGATGCAGTATAAATTGCTGAAACTTCTGGAGGATAACTTAGTAAATCTCAAAAGTAGGAGCGTACCTTCATTATTAACCTATAGTTAATAGTTTCATATTTGAAAGTTCCTAAGAGAGTAGCTTGCCCTCTGGTGATGGATGTTAGCTAAACATTGTGATCATTTCACAACATATACAAATGTTGAATCATTATGTTCTACATTTGAAACAAATAGAATATGTCAATTTTATCTCAATTTAGAAAAAGAATACTTTCCTAAAAGTATATCTGGACTAATACAGCATTATATAGCAGAAGTCTCGGAAACCACCTAAATGTTTAATAATAATAGAATAATTAAATGAATTATGGTAAATCTATATAATAATGATGCGTTATATAGTTAATCTATGTCTGTCTATTTATCTATCCATCCATTTGTCTGTCACCTATTGCTGCATAACAAATCATCCCAAAACTTAATACACATCTGTTTGATGTCACAGCAGGGTCTGAGGATCAGGAATGCAGGTGTGGTTAGCTGGGCCCAAGACCTCTTCAAGGCCTCTTGCAGGCTACAGTCAGGGATGCTGTATCATGCCTAGGCTGACGTAGAGGGATCTACTTCCAGCCTCCCTCCCATGGTTGTTTTCAGTATTCAGTCCTTTGCAGGCTGTTGGCCTGCCGTCAGTCCCTTGTCCAGTGACATCTCCCTCAGGCAGCAGATGACGTGGTAACTTGCTTCAGTAGAATGAACAAACCGAAAGAGCCAGAAAGAGAATGCCAGTAAGAAGGAAGTCCCAGGGCTCATACCACCTAATCTTGGAGGTGACTTTCCCATCCCTTTTGCTATATTCTGTTCATTTGAAGCAGGTTGTTAGTTAATTTCAAACATGATTTTCCACTCCTAAATTCTTCAGTATGTATCTATATAAAGTGAGGACATTCTTCTCCTTAAATGCAATGACTTATTACATGTGAAATAATTCAAAGAATTCCCTGTTACTGCCTTAGATCCTGTCTCAATCTGAAAATGTTTCCAGTTGTTTCAAAAATGTCACCTTACAGATGGTTTACATATCAACTAAGGTCCATATAGTGGATTATGCTAATAATAATAATTAATCTGATTGTGCTTTTAACTGGCTTTTCATCTAAACCATTCACCCTCTCCATTTGCTTCTTTTTCTCCTTCCCTGTTTTCATGCCACTGATTGATTGAAAAGAAAGGAGATCAGTCGTCCTACCCCCTGGGTTTGTCTGAGTGCTTTCTCATGGCTTCTTTGGACTTGTTCCTCTATCTCCTGTCATTCATTCCTATAAGCTACAGATTGGATCTAAATACCCATATTCAGGGAGACTATTCCATAAGTGATGCTGTATGCCCCATATTCTGTTTTATTAGGAAGTACATAATGGCTTTTGCCAGTGCTAATGTTTTTATAATTAATCAGAGTTATCTTTTTTGTTATTATTGGAGTATAGTTGATTTACAGTATTGTGTTAATTTCAGGTATATTACAAAGTGGATTAGTTATACATATATCCTCTGGTTTTTTTACATTCTTTTCCAATATAGGTCATTATAGAGTACTGAGTAGAGTTCCTTGTGCTGTACAGTAGGTCCTTATTAGTTATCTGTTTTATGTATAGTCATTTGTATATGTCAGTCACAGTCTCCCAATTTATCCCTCCCTCACTGTCTGGTAACCATAAATTTGTTTTCTATATCTGTGACTCTACTCCTGTTTTGTAAATAAGTTCACTTGTACCCTTTTTTTAGAGTGGTCTTTTAAAAATGTTCACATCACTCCTCTGCTTAGCCCCTAACACATTTAGAATAAAATCCCGGTTCCTTACTGTAATCTGGCTCAGGGCTAATTTTCTCCCCATTGGTCCTTGCACCTCACTCACGCTGAGTTATTGTCCCTCAAACTTGTGGAGCTCTTTCTCAGTTTGAACCTTTGCAGATACTGCTTGAATACTCCTTCCCTAGAACTTTTACCTGGCTAGTTATTTCTCACCCCTCCCAGTAGCCCTCCTTCCCAAACCACTCTCTAAGCTATATCCCTAGTTTGTTCTCTTTTGGCATTTGTCCCAACCTGAAACAATATCATCTTTTTTAGCTTATAGGTTTCTTTATGAGGTTTTATCTGATTTCCCATACTGGAATGTAAACTCCATGAAAGCACAGACCTTGTCTTTTCATCACTGCCCCCCAAAAACTTGAAACAGTGTCTCACAGTTAGTAGATGCTCAATAAATATTTGTTAAGCAGATAAATGAACCTTATCAAGGTAATTTATGTTAAGAAACAGCCTCTAAGACTCCTCCCTGATGAGAATAAATATAGCACCGTGTGTACTTCTGGGGTACACACATATCTGGGGTGGGGGGTGTTTTGTTTTGTTTCATTGTGCTGCTCTTTTTGCAGGGGGTGTGTGATGCTTTCTTACCACAGATCATGGCTATTCAAACTGTGTCCCATAGACCAACAGCATTGACATTACCTGGGAGCGTGTTCAAAATGCAGAATCTTGGGCCGCAGCCGAGACCTACTGAATCAGAAGCTACATTTAAGAAGATAACCCAGGTGACTCATGTGCATTTTAAAATTGGAGATGCCCTGGTCTAAAACCCTGGTCTCTTCTGTTTTTCTTCCTTCTGTTTCACCTTGTTCTCCAGTTCTCCCCATCTGCCCCCATTGGTAATCAATCCCTCATGGCCCGTCCCGGAAGCAGCTTCCCGCGCCTCCCGAAATATTTACCCAAAGGTTATCTCTCCAGGCTCCTTCCCTCCGGATTTCATTCTGTTTATAAATATTGAAGCTGAAATGTAAACCACTTTGAAACTCTTCTCCCGAAGGCCTGCATGTCCTGGTAAGTCTTTACATTTGCAGATATCTATTGACATATCTTAAGCAAATGATTTTAAAAGTTTCCACAGGCATCCTGAGTTTAGCATTTCCTTTCATCTTGCCTGGCTGCAGATTGAAGCTAGGGTTTATTTTCAAAGCTTGAGGAATTCTTAGTATTTCTTAAACCTGGGTTAAGGGCACACGCCACCACACCATGGCATTGGGATGTCATCTCCTGCAGCCTGGTTGCAAAGCCTGGGTTCTTAACCTCTATGACAACAATGGCCGCAAATGTTGCTTTATGAAAGTGCCATTTTTTTGTCCATTCACTTACGTATTCACTCTTTTGAAAGGCATGTGAAGGTATCAGCATGGCATAGAGATGTGGATGTCAGACCATCACTAAAGGAGCTGAAATAAGTACAAAAGTAACCTTATAAGATTGAGTCATGTAAGTGGCATCAAGTACTCATTGAGTTCGATGCAAGACTTCATGGAGGAGACAGCAAGTAGAGATGCCTTTGAAGAGCAGAGGCCCCAGGAAGTCATGGTCGTAGGACTGTCACTGAATACTTTTGTTTGACTTTATTCAGGATCTTGGCCACCTTTCATACTGTCACTGAGTTTTAGTCTCTCAGAATGTATTAGGAACCTGAGAATCAAATAGGATCACGGGGCAAAGAGGATTAATTTCCATTCTTTTTCCTGAGCATTTACTGTGTGCTTGATACAGCTCTAAGGACTGAGAATACAGCAGTGAATTAACATGCAAAATACCATTCTTGTGGAGCTTATATTCTAATGAAGGGGTAAGTGAGACAGTGACTGAAGTTCTCTATGGTTTGGGGGTACAGAAAAGACTTCGGCAGTATTGGGTTGGCCGCTAAGTTCATTCGGGTTTTTCCATTACATCTTACGGAAAAACCCAAATGAACTTATTGAGCGACACAAGGTATCTTGGTTTAGAAATTAATGATTGCTTTATTAAAGTCACATGTTTTAAGAAAGCAAATGTTTAAGCTCAGCTTGTATGTCTACATCTAAAAAAAAAGACCCATCATTTTTTTTTAATTTTTGTATTGGGGTATAGCTGATTAACAGACAATGTTGTGATAGTTTCAGGTGAACGGTGAAGGGACTCAGCCATGCGTGTACATGTATTTCTTCTCCCCCAAACCCACCACCATCCAGGCTGCCACATAACAATGAGCAGAATTCCATGTGCTATACAGTAGGTCCTTGTTGGTTATCCATTTTAAACATAGCAGTGTGTACATGCCTAGTCCAAATTCCCTAACTCTGCCTTCCTCCCGTCATTTTCCCTGGCAACCATAAGTTCATTCTTGAAGTCTGTGAGTCTGTTTCTGTTTTGTAAGGAAGTTCATTTGTATCATTTCTTTTTAGATTCCACATGTGAGGGATGTCATAGAAATTTCTCCTTCTCTGTCTGACTTCACTTAGTATGACACTCTCTAGTTCCATCCATGTTGCTGCAAATGGCATAATTGGTTTTATGAGCTATCATTTTTGAGGGCATTTGAAACATGTTTGATTGCATTTGAAAATTTAATTAAGTTATGTTGATAAATTCTGTGTGTTCAATTTAATTTTTTAGTAGCACATTTGTGTCCTTGACACATCCTCTTAGGTGCTTAAGTCATTTTTATAAATTTGTTAAATTAAACTAATAGGATGGTCTTTAAATTGTCTTAAGTGTTCTAACACTTTATATAGTTTTAGTAAGAATTTTAAATTAAAATCCTGAGTCATGATCAGTTATAACTCAATTACATAGTTTAAATGGGTATTACTATGCTGATCTGTTCAATCTAGTAGACAGAATAAGCACATAAAATAAACATTTTACTATTAAAATAGTCAATATGTAAATATTAATGCTATGGATTTGATTCTCTTAAACATTTTTATAATTAATCAAGAATTCCTAAGGGTTGAAATACACTCAACCTTTAAGGCAATAGTGACATCAACCTCTTCTGTTTGGGAGGTTGCCTTCAGGTTCATTGAGTTTAACAACCATGATGCAGCCAGATCTTTGAGGTGTCACCTGCCACCTGAACCCCTTTTCCAGAATTGCCTAAAGGAAAAGTCCATGACTTCACCTCTATCCCTAAAATTCACGTGTAATCCATGACATTTCACCCAGATGAACTAGCTGTTGGTTTTTACATTTCTTTCTTTCACTCTATAAGCAAGTCCATCTATTCCCAGGTCTAAAAGACACATGTACTTGACCAGAATCTGGCTTTTTTTCCCCCCATGGTTCTTACAGACTTCTGATTAAATTATAGACATCTCTCAGCATGTTGTGGTATTTTTCAAAGCAGTGTCCAAGGTCATTCTATTGACAAGATGTACAATTTGTAAAGAAGCAAGGTAAAAGAGAAGAGAGGAGTTTGAAAGTGATGACAGGTGATGTTTTCTAGGGTGGTCAAAGATGGCCTCTCTGAGGAGGTGACACAGACCAGACATTGAATATTGGAAGAGATAAGGCCATGCGGCTCTCTGACAGGTAAAGAGAATGGTGGATGCAAAGGCCCAGAGGTTGGAGCAAAGACTTGGATCATGGAGACTAGGTGGTTCAATCTATATGAATGAAGGGAGAGTGGGAAGAAATACAATCAGAGAGGGGAGGGCAGGATGGGGAGATGGGGACAGGTGATCCAGTGCTTTATGGACCAGACCAGGATATGGATCCTAAATTCCATTCTGAATGAGCTTGGAGTATATTTGACCTGACTTAGACTTTAAAAAGCTTTCTCTAGCTTCTTGTAGGTGTTGGCGTTTCCTGTGGCTGCATCATTCTAGTCCCTGTCTCCATCTTCAAAGAGCCTCTCTGTTTCCGTGTCTTCTCTTCGATCTCTCATTTAGGTTTGCTATAAACTGAATTTTTCTATAGCTCTAAAGTTCACGTACTGAAACCTAATCCCTAATATGATAGTGTTTAGAGAGGGGATCTTGGAGGTCATTAGGTCATGAAGGTGGAGGCCACATGAATGGGATTAGTGCCCTCATAAAAGAGACCCCAGAGAGAGCCATGGCTCCTTCTGCTGTGTGAGAACACAGTGATAAGATGGTGTCTATGAATCTACTAGGAAGTGGACTCTCCCTAGACACCAGATCTGCTGGCTCCTTTTTTTTTTTCATTTATTTTTATTAGTTGGAGGCTAATTACTTCACAACATTTCAGTGGGTTTTGTCATACATTGACATGAATCAGCCATGGAGTTACATGTATTCCCCATCCTGATCCCCCCTCCCACCTCCCTCTCCACCCGATTCCTCTGGGTCTTCCCAGTGCACCAGGCCCGAGCACTTGTCTCATGCACCCAACCTGGGCTGGTGATCTGTTTCACCCTAGATAATATACATGTTTCAATGCTGTTCTCTTGAAACATCCCACCCTCGCCTTCTCCCAGAGTCCACAAGTCTGTTCTATACATCTGAGTCTCTTTTTCTGTTTTGCATATAGGGTTATCGTTACCATCTTTCTAAATTCCATATATATGTGTTAGTATACTGTAATGGTCTTTATCTTTCTGGCTTACTTCGCTCTGTATAATGGGCTCCAGTTTCATCCATCTCATTAGAACTGATTCAAATGAATTCTTTTTAATGGCTGAGTAATATTCCATGGTGTATATGTACCACAGCTTCCTCATCCATTCGTCTGCTGATGGGCATCTAGGTTGCTTCCATGTCCTGGCTATTATAAACAGTGCTGCGATGAACATTGGGGTGCACGTGTCTCTTTCAGATCTGGTTTCCTTGGTGTGTATGCCCAGAAGTGGGATTGCTGGGTCATATGGCAGTTCTATTTCCAGCTTTTTAAGAAATCTCCACACTGTTTTCCATAGTGGCTGTACTAATTTGCATTCCCACCAACAGTGTAAGAGGGTTCCCTTTTCTCCACACCCTCTCCAGCATTTATTGCTTGTAGACTTTTGGATAGCAGCCATCCTGACTGGCGTGTAATGGTACCTCATTGTGGTTTTGATTTGCATTTCTCTGATAATGAGTGATGTTGAGCATCTTTTCATGTGTTTGTTAGCCATCTGTATGTCTTCCTTGGAGAAATGTCTGTTGAGTTCTTTGGCCCATTTTTTGATTGGGTCATTTATTTTTCTGGAGTTGAGCTGGAGGAGTTGCTTGTATATTTTTGAGATTAATCCTTTGTCTGTTGCTTCGTTTGCTATTATTTTCTCCCAATCTGAGGGCTGTCTTTTCACCTTGCTTATAGTTTCCTTTGTTGTGCAAAATCTTTTAAGCTTCATTAGGTCCCATTTGTTTATTTTTGCTTTTATTTCCAATATTCTGGGAGATAGGTCTTGATGTTGGACCTCCAGCCTCTAGAGCTGTGAGAAAGAAGTGTTTGTCATTCATGAGCCACCAAGTCTGTGTTGTTTTTGTTGTAGCAGCTAAGTGGACTAAAATAACATCCAACCCAGATAGTCCCAAAAGATCTTATATGGAGCTCCTTCAAGTAATTGTATCTGCCAAGACCTTTTTTCCAAATAAAATCACAGTCACAAGTTCTGGAATTTAAGACATGGGCATGCATATACGTGTGTGCTCAGTCGTGTCTGACTCTCTGTGATCCCATGGACTGTAACCCTCCAGGCTCCGCTGTCTGTGGAACTCTCCAGCAAGAATATTGGAGTGGGTAGCCATTTCTTCCTCCAGTGGGTCTTCCCAACAAGAAGATGGAACCTGGGTCTCCTGTGTCTCCTGCGTTGCAGGTGGATGTTTTAGCACTGAGTCATGGAGGAAGCCCATGGACATCTCTATTCTTGAAGGGCTTACTATTCAACATCCTGCAATTGGCTAATATTGCAGACACAGGAAAAGATACAACCCATTGCCACACTCACGTATCTGTTCATTAAGTCAACAAATATTTGTTGAGCACAGACTAGTATAGGAAGGCCCATGCCTGGCATTGCAGACACCAAGTGACGATAGCAAGGAAAAGCCTCACAAAGCCTTATAAGGGGAACAGGATGTAAAGGATTCAGCTCCTCTTGGAGTGCTCATGGAGTTCTCTTATACATTGTATTATTTTATTCTCCCAATTCTGGGAAGTAGATGTTAGTGTTTCATGTACAGTCATGAACATGGTGGCTCAGAGAAGGGACTTGCACAGACAGATGGTTAATAGGTGGTATAATCAAGATTTAAACCCAGATCTGCCCGACAGTGACAGATGGTGATGCCAACTCTACAATAAACACACTGGGGACACCACAGGTGCACATCATTAAATGCTGACTCCTATGGCATTGAGTTCCAAATGGATGTAAATGGATTACAGACAGTGGCCCCATTTAAATATTACAAGGGAGAATATTCTTGGCATCTTCTGGTCAACCCTTTCTAAGAAGCACTTGCTTTTTGTTTTACATTTTATATTCTGCTAATCTAAATATATAAGACTCAGATTGTCTTAAAGTTCAATGGTCTCAGACACTTCAGTTCTGAGATATAACATGAGAGTGATAAAATGCATCTTTGTCTGGGTCCCAGCAATCCAGGCCCTGTATTTCCCTCAAAGTGATAACTTCAAAATGTGTTGGATCTGAAAAACAACAACAGTCTCTCTGTAATTGGTTGCAGTTAGATTAAGCACAGAATTGCCCACCAGTACTCTGGAAAAGCACCCTTTGTATGCAGACAGACAAAGTATAGAAATGTGCCTTTCATTTATACTCAAAGCCTGGTAAGGCTTTTTTTTTCTCTCCTTTTCCTGCTCTAGTTCCTGGAACAGTGGGACGACAAAAGGCAACTGGGTATCTTGCAGTGCCACCTCCGAGCTGAGTGATCCAGGGCACGTTGCTTCCGATGTCTGAGCCCCAGTTTCCCCATCACTAAGGTGAATATGTATTCCAGGTGATCTTTGAAGTCTCTTCTGGCTCTGAAATATTTTAACTGTGAGGCTAAATATTTAGTGGTAATTATATTTGCTAGAATGTGTGTTTCATATAGCTAGGCTTAGTTTACAGTTTTTATTAGACAGATGAATGAGGTTAATAAAATGGGTAATTAAAAAAAGATTGAATTCCCAGAAGGCATTCTGCTATGAATTTAATTATGAAACATATTAATTGCATCACTCTTAAGACTTGAAAGTTGGGCAGTTGCTGGATGCACAAAGTAAGGGGCAGTTTTGCCTCAAGCTGTCCTCAGCTCTAGTATCAGAGATGTGCAAACAGTCACTTTCTAGCTGTGGAAAGAAAGAGAATACGAAACAGCTGGGCAGTTGGCATAATCATTCTCTTCCCTTGTCTTTTGCAAATTAAGGTACCTACAGCAGACAAGAAATATGCATTATAAAATACAGCTCTTCTAGTATCACCTACGGGGTGCTCTAACTATGCAGCCGCCACTAGACTGTGACATCATCATTGAAAATTAGCAAAAGATACCCCTTTTCAGAGTTCACAGCTCCACAAACAAACAGCTTGGTGAGTACATGTTTCTGACCAGGGTACGGCTTAGCAAGCGGAGCTTAAGATGAATAGCAATCTCTGCTGGCCTCCTCGGCTAAGTGTTTGTGCTGCGCACACACTGCCCACAGAACAAGGCAGCCCTTCCTGGCTCAATCACTTAGTTTCTTTCTACTACTCTCAGGAAGTGGCCTGTCTTAATTTTTTTAAATCCCACTACTGTTAAATTTGAAGTTACAGTAAAAGGATCTAGAGCACTTGAGTATCTTAGGGTAGGAGGGAGAATGGTATTTTTGGGAAGTGGAGAGAAAAAACCATTGTGGTTGAAATTGGCAAACAAGGGAGATGAAGTTAGGAGACAAGGCTCTAGAGAGGGACAGGGGTCGTTCTGTAATCTGTAGGCCATTTGTTCAAAAAACAGTGAAACTCTGACTGGTTTAACTATTGAGGAGTTTGATCAGGTCAAATTGGTTCCTTTGGAGAAGGTGAATTAAAGGAAGCCTTAATCAGAGGTTTGGACCTCTGGTACCAAGAGTTGCTGGTAGCTTGGATGAGAGTAATGATGGAGAAGGGTGGATGACTTTTAGAGATATTTGTTAAGTAAAATTGCGTGGAAATGATGATGAATGGTTTTGGGGTAACAGGAATAATTCCAAAGGTAAGAATACCTAACATAGCATGTCCTTGTGCCAGGCACTGTTCCAAGTACTGTACGTGCATTAGCTCATTTATATCTGAAGGAGGGACTGTTGGTTTCTTCACTTTGTAGAAGAGGAATTGAGGCACGGAAAGATGGAATAATTTGCCCCACATTCCACAACAGAGTTGAGATTTGAGCCCACAGAGTCTGAGGTTTAAATCCTTGCTCTAAACCAGTACTTAATCAGGACAGTTTTGCCCCAGGGGACATTGAACAGTATCTAGAGGCATTTTTGGTTGTCACACCTCAAGGATAGAGGTGCCACTGTTATCTCATGGAGACAGGCCAGGGATGTTGCTCAAAGCCCTATAATCACAGGACAGCGATTATCTAGCCCTGCATCCCCAGTAACGCAGAGGCTTAGAGCTCCTGCTCTCTGCACTGTGTCACAGCACCCCCTGAGGACACCGCCTGGGCCGATTCACCAAGAACCTGGAAGAGCAACTTGAAAGGGGCTGTGAGTTGTTTTCTGGACATATCCAGCCCCAGCCCTTGCAGACACCTCAGAGGCGATGGCAAGTCGAGCCCACCAGTCGGGTGCTTGCTGGGCTCTGACATCCGCAGGAGGAGCCTGGCATTGCTTAGAGCAGGCTTCTATTCCTGGATACTGGAGACCCCCAAGTACCTTACATATATCATCTTGTATCTGTTTGTTTATTCCCCCACCCTTCTCCAGAAATAGGTAAAGCTACTTAAAAGGATAAGGAATAAAGTACAGGCCATAAAAGATAGAAGCAGGTCATTGACATGAGGGTGGAGACATAGGTTGGAGACAGAAAGGAGACCAAAATGGACCCTGCCCATATGCCTGGCTGCTGCAGGACTGTTATTGGGGGTTCACTGGACTTCTTTCTCTGTCTCCCTGCCCTCCTTGTCCTGTCTCCACCAGATGGATCCCAAGTCTCATTTTGTGGCCTCTGTGTAGCTGAGAAGAAGCCTGGGTATGTGTACTGTCTTTTAAGTTTCTGGTACATAGTAAGTGAAGTCGCTTAGTCCATGGGATTTTCCAGGCAAGAGTAGTGGAGTGGATTGCCATTTCCTTCTACAGGGGATCTTCCCAACCCAGGGATTGAACCCCGGTCTCCTGCATTGCAGGCAGACGCTTAGGAGAGTGATAAATATTTACTCAGAAAATCTCTGGGGACATACTTCTGAACAAGACACAAACCCTCCCCTCACTGGGCTGCCTTTCTAATGGCAGAGATCAAGCAACAAGGCAGGCATTTGGTGCAAGGATTCTTGGTTTGAGTTTTTGTTACCAGATAATTTAATACAGTAGTTTCAAGATGGCATCCATGCTATACAGAAAGAAACAAAAAAGGAGTCAAGAAAGAACAATGAGGGAAACCTGGTAACTCCTCTGAGGAGATGACACAAAAGCTGCAGCCTGAAGAAAGAGCCAGCCCTCACAGAGTGAGGTGGGGGTGTTCCAGGGTGCTGAGGGAGCAGTCGGGGTGAATACCTCTGTGTGGGAAAGAGTCATGGCCTTTGACAAACACACAGGAGGCCAGGGGGTCTGAAGCATGATGAGGGAAGGAGGCTGTGAGAAGAGAGGGTAGGAGAATGGGCCAGGCCATGAGGGGCAGAGTAAGGAGTACAGGTTTATTCTAAGGGCAGTAGGAGCTCTGGAAGGATTGCATGGTAAAGATCAACAGCTGTTTCCAAGCATCTGTCTCCCTGTCATCTTCCTTGTTAGTAAAACCCACAGCATTGAAAATTGTGTTCATGGCTGCCTGGAATAGAGAGTACTTGCTCCAGCCTCTTCCATAACTATAGTCACGTGACTTAAGCTCTAGCCCCTGAAATGTCAGCTAAGGTGGTGTTTGCAACTTCTTACTCCTTTTTTTTTTTTTGGTAATTAATTTTCTATTTCTTTATTTTAAAAAAATTTATATTGCAATATAGTTGATTTGCAATGTTGCATGAATTTCTGCTAGACAGCACAGTGAATCAGTGATATATATATCCACTCATTTTTAGATTCTTTTCCCATATAGGCCATTGCAGAATATTGACAAGAGTTCCCTGTGCTATACAATAGGTCCTTTTTGATTCTCTTTTTGGTTTATCAGTTCAGTTCAGTCGCTCAGTCAGGTCCAACTTTTTGCAACCCCATGAACCGCAGCACGCCAGGCCTCCCTGTCCATCACCAACTCCTGGAGTCCACCCAAACCCATGTCCATTGTGTCAGTGATGCCTCCCAACCCTCTCATCCTCTGTCGTCCCCTTCTCCTCCTGCCCTCAGTCTTTCCCAGCATCAGGGTCTTTTCAAATGAGTCAGCTCTCCGCATCAGGTGGCCACAGTATTGGAGTTTCAACTTCAGCATCAGTCCCTTCATTGAACACCCAGGACTGATCTCCTTCAGGATGGACTAGTTGGATCTCCTTGCAGTCCAAGGGACTCTCAAGAGTCTTCTCCAACACCACAGTTCAAAAGCATCAATTCTTTGGTGCTCAGCTTTCTTTATAGTCAAACTCTCACATCCATACATGACTACTGGAAAAACCATAGCCTCGACTAGACAGACCTTTGTGGGCAAAGTAATGTCTCTGCTTTTTAACATGCTGTCTAGGTTGGTCATAACTTTCCTTCCAAGGAGCAAGCATCATTTAATCTCATGGCTGCAATCACCATCTGCAGTGATTTCGGAGTCCCAAAAAATAAAGTCAGCCACTGTTTCCACTGTTTCCCTATCTATTTGCCATGAAGTGATGGGACTAGATGCCATGATCTTAGTTTTCTGAATGTTGAGCTTTAAGCCAACTCTTTCACTCTCCTCTCTCACTTTCATCAAGAGGCTCTTTAGTTCTTCTTCACTTTCTGCCATAAGGGTGGTGTCATCTGCATATCTGAGATTATCGATATTTCTCCTGGCAATCTTGATTCCAGCTTGTGCTTCATCCAGTCCAGCATTTCTCAAGATGTACTCTGCATATAAGTTAAACAAGCAGAGTGACAATATACAGCCTTGATAGACTCCTTTTCCTATTTGGAACCAGTCTGTTGTTCCATGTCCAGTTCTAACTGTTGCTTCCTGACCTGCATACAGGTTTCTCAAGAGGCAGGTCAGGTGGTCTGGTATTCCCATCTCTTTCAGAATTTTCCACAGTTTATTGTGATCCACACAGTCAAAGGCTTTGGCATAGTCAATAAAGCAGAAATAGATGTTTTTCTGGAACTCTCTTGCTTTTTCGATGATCCAGCGGATGTTGGCAATTTGATCTCTGGTTCCTCTGCCTTTTCTAAAACCAGCTTGAACATCTGGAAGTTCACGGTTCACGTATTGCTGAAGCCTGGCTTGGAGAATTTTGAGCATTACTTTACTAGCGTGTGAGATGAGTGCAATTGTGCGGTAGTTTGAGCATTCTTTGGCATTGCCTTTCTTTGGGATTGGAATGAAAACTGACCTTTTCCAGTCCTGTGGCCACTGCTGAGTTTTCCAAATTTGCTGGCATATTGAGTGCAGCACTTTCACAGCATCATCTTTCAGGATTTGAAATAGCTCAACTGGAATTCCATCACCTCCACTAGCTTTGTTCGTAGTGATGCTTCCTAAGGCCCACTTGACTTCACATTCCAGGATGTCTGGCTCTAGGTGAGTGATCACACCATCGTGATTATCTGGGTCATGAAGATCTTTTTTGTACAGTTCTTCTGTGTATTCTTGCCACCTCTTCTTAATATCTTCTGCTTCTGTTAGGTCCATACCATTTCTGTCCTTTATTGAGCCCATCTTTGCATGAAATGTTCCCTTGGATCTCTAATTTTCTTGTAGAGATCTCTAGCCTTTCCCATTGTATTGTTTTCCTCTATTTCTTTGCATTGATCGCTGAGGAAGGCTTTCTTATCTCTCCTTGCTATTGTTTGGAATTCTGCATTCAAATGGGTGTATCTTTCCTTTTCTCCTTTGCTTTTTGCTTCTCTTCTTTTCACAGCTATTTGTAAGTATTTTGGTTTATAGTAGTGCATATATGTCAATCCCAGTCTCCCAGTTTATCCCTGTCTAATACACCTGCTTCTCTTGCTGGTAACCTTAAGTTTATTTTCTACATCTGTGACTCTATTTCTGTTTTGTAAAAAAATTCATTTGCACCATTTTTTTAGATTCTACATATAAGCAGTATTATGTATTTGTCTTGTCTGACTTATTTCACTCAATATGACAGTCTCTAGGTCCATCTGTGTTGCTGCAAATGGCATTATTTTGCTCCTTTTTTGTGGTTGAGAAATGTTCCATTGTATATAACATGTACCACATCTTCTTCATCCTTTCCTCTGTCATTGCACACTTAGTTTGCTTCCACGTCATGGCTGTTG